GGCTTCGCCGGCCCGTCCTTGGTGAAGGGATGATAATTGATGAAAGTCAGGTTATCAATGGTACCTGTCAAATCCGCGCTGATGGGCACGACGTTCCCGGAGGTACCAGGCTTGGCCGGACCTTCGGTTACAAGGCCAAAAATATTATAATGGGGTTGCATGGTAGGCCTCACGGGCGTCTTCTGTGAAAGCAGAGGCATGTCGAAAGGGCTGAACCTGGGCAATTCTTCCAACTCTTTCTCGATATATGGAAAGGATTCCAGTCCAATTGATCTCGTCATCTCTTTCGTCCGTTCGATCATGGCCGCTTCGCGGTCGTCAGGTTGCAGCAAGAGCTGCGCGTTCTGCCCTTTCTCTTTCGAGGACTCATTGATGATAGCGTTCAGCTCCATCACCTCTTTCTCTGATGCAGCTGCGCGTGCCAGAGCCTCATCCTTCTCTCTAGTGTTGGCAGCTGACCTTTTCGGAGCTCAATCTAATCTGCTCCTCAACTTGCTCCTTCATCTGCCGTGTGTTAATTTTATCAGCGCTAAATTCAACAAGGAGCTTCTGCTGTTGGGCCCGAATGTGGTCACCACTGCGTCTTTGCCATTGCTCGTCCCACTCTTCCTGTTCAGCAGGCAAACTCTTTCGTTGAGTACAAGTGATAAACCGTCTGGTGCTCGTGTTAAAGTGGTCTTTACAGCTTGGCAATCCACAAGTGGCGCATTCCCCAATTTTCGGATTCGAGCAGATCGAGCAACTCTCTTCGTTAACCCCTATCGCGGGCTGTGGCTGCTGCGCAGCCCTTACTCGCAGCGTCGGCGGCATTCCGCCCCCCATGGGCGCCAGGCCAGGCTGGGCCTGCGAGGGCGTTGCGCCGGACGGCTGGGCCGCCGGCGATGGTCATCTCGCCCCGGCCAGCTTAGCCGGCGGGCGCGTATTGTCGCCTAACTGCATGCGCTGAAGAGATGCTCCGGCGTTTTCATGTAACTTGAGCTCTTCTCGATGCTGATTACTCTGATCAACTATCGTCGCAGCTACAATCAAGGCATTGGCCACTTCCAGCCTGGCAGCGTGAAGTTGTTCTTGGAGCTCCTGTTTATCATGTTCTGCCCTGGCTGTGGCGGCCCTCCCTCCTTCTATTCTCGCCACCGCAACAGCGGCGGATGCGGTCTTGGCATCGACAGACTGACTGTTCGCCGCCATTGCAGGCTGTCGTTCGGAGGATATCGTCTCAGCAATTCTGTTCTCGGCTTCTTCTCCCGCACGCTGCTGGGCAGCTGCGGTTTGATGGGGCATTCGTCCCATCAGCTCTTGTTCCCGCTTGCTGGCAGCTTGGGCCAGAGCGAGTCTTTCAGCCTCGAACTTCTTCCGAACGCCCTCAATAACTGCATTCATTTCTTCTCGGCCCAGTCGAGCCTGCTCGGCCCTCTGGGCTTCAGGGACCACAATTTCTTGCTGAGTCTTGGCCTCGACAAATCTAGCCTGATCCTGCGCAGCTTGGATGAGACGGCATGAGCAGTTATGTTCCTCCATCTGGAAGCAATCCTCACACAAGAACTGATTGCCACAGTTGGGACACACATCAGAGCAACCTCCACGCACTGGGCGCTTACAAGGTCCTTCCTGTTTGTGGGCTTTCCCCGGGCATCTGCTTCCCGCCCCGGGCGGGCAGTTGGGGCCCCGGTTCCAGCGTGCCTCGCGCATGGATGCTGTACTGTTGCTCCTCGAAGTCGATCGGGCACCAGATCGTGGCATCTTGGACCTTTCCCTGCTCGAAGCAGACGATCGAGGGCGGACGTGCGCATTCTCAGGTGGCTTAGTTGCCTCTCGAAGCTCCTCATCCAGTTCGTCTTGTCTGACCAACTCATGTAGCGAAGCCGGGGGGCTGAGCATTTCGCCATCCTCAACTACCGCGGGCGCCGACGGTTGCCAATCGCCTGAGGCGACGGCAGGTCGACAGAACCCTTCCTGAAGCGGGGAATCAGTCAAATCGTAATCTTCATTCCTGTGGTTCTTGAGTTGAGGAGCGGGCGTTCGCCCCGTGGTCTCCCGGTCGCGCTTCGCATGATACTGGGACTTATTTCAACCTAGACCGCCTGGGGCGGCAGGTCACTTATCACGGTATCTGAGTCTGGTTTCGCGAGCGCTTTCCCAAGGGCCTCCAAGTGATCCTAGTCATTTGTCTTCTGCCCAGGGGGTGACCTCCCGTCCTGGACGGGATGGTCGGCAGCGATTATCGACGACAAATCTCGGCTTAGTGATACTTGATAACTGGCGTATTCTATGTCTTCCTCCATAGAGTTTATATCGTCTTCATCGTCAAGCTGTTCATCGCTATCTTGACCGGCTTGTCCGTTCAAGGCTATCGGGATGGGATGAGTCCCTGGAATGTTCCCCCGTCCGTCTGGGACGGTGGGGTACACACCGCCGGACTCTTCAGCGTCTTGCGACCCACTGGCTAGGCCAGCGGCCGGCACGAATAGTCCTCATGGCAATCGGGCTGGAGTGTACTGTCTCAGAGGACTCAGCAACCCAAGATGAAAAAAAAGGCTCCTCGCCTGACATTTGCTGTTGTGCCGTCCCGCCTCGTCGGGTCTGGGGTCGGTTCACGATCGCCGATCGGAATGCGAGTGGGAGAATCATCTACCGGCGAATCTATGACTTCTCCCTTACCCCTTCCATGAGAAATCCGAGTGATGTTAGAAGAAGAGAGAAGGCGGCCCTTCCCCGGGCCGCTGTCCTGGTGTTATTGCCCGTCACGCTGTACAACTTGCGATCCGACGGGCAATTCGGCTGTCTCATCATAGCTCATCCCTGTTGCGACTTGGTCGCGGGCTTCGGCTGATAACCAGTCTTTCCTATGAAAATCGGGAAAAGATGCCAAAGGAATTAAAGTCTCATGTTGACTCTGCTCATTGGTAGAGGATACGGGATGAGACATCGATGAAACTATCGGTTGTCCGTTAAGCAACTACACTCAAGTATGGGAAGTGAGGAGGCCGGCCAGGGAGGGATGACGACACGGGCCGCCCACGCGCCCCCCGGTGCGCTCCTTTTCTCACTCGAGCAGTAGATACACAGCTGCGGTATACAGTGATACCAATGTCAAGGTATGGCAAGGCAGGCAATAGGAGAGGCAAGTGCATGATGAGGCGGAGGGGAGCATATTTACTCGGAGGCGGCACGGGTACTCAAAACAGCCAGGGAGTACGGCAACCCACTGGAAGGAGTCCTGGCCCCAGACGTCCAAGCAGCGCTGGACCCAGACCACGCCGCCTATCTCAAGGCAAGGGCGGTGCAGTGGGTGCCAGTGCGCTGGACAGAACCACGAACACGCGTGAAGGCGAAGTCCCACGCCTCGGCCGTCGACCCCCCCCGAGGCCGCGCCATTCAAACCATGCAACGGCGTGTAGCCGTGGTGCGCTGCAGCGGTTGCAACGTCGATGCGGCCCGATGCCTGCGTGGCTCTGCCGCGCATCCCAGCGCGGGCGATCCGACCCTGCTTTGCAACTCCGTGCCGATGCAGTCCGATCCGACACAAATTTCGATGCACTTGCCGAACCTCCGTGCTCCGCGCTGCCCACAGCGACATGCATCCGCGGCCTGCGCGCGCGGCGCGCCGTGTGGGCCTCGACCGCACGCTTCGAGTCGATCCGACTTCCCGACTCGACGTTGACCGACCCGGCACGCCGAGGCCGGGCAGGCAGCGAGAGGACGGTGAGGCCTACGCTCGGCTCGGTCGGCACGCAGAGGCGCCCGCGGCTCGGACGGCTCGGCCGCGTCGCGGTCTGCTGCGTCGCGGTCGGCCCGCTTCGGTCGGCCGTGGCGTCGCTGCCGTGTCGCTGGGGGGACTGGCTCGGGGGCGGGGGGGCATCGACCTGGAGTCGACGACGCATCGCCACTGCATCGGCGAGTGGCCCCCGATGGCGAATCCGAGCGGTCCTGAGCGGGGCGGGCCACCAGGCCCCTTGTCGGAGATCAATGGGCGATTGGGGCCGATGCCGGTTGATCGCCGACAAGGGGCGAGTCGTGCTCCCGGGCCACGGAGGCCGTTTCCCTTTAGGCCCTGGCAAGTTTACTTGCGTGACTGGGAAGAGGGGGGGGGGCCTGGCGACACCGTGAACGAACTCTGGACTTCATACACATCGAGATTCACTTGCCCGCCGCTTCGTGTCAGCATTACTGTTCAGACGGCGGTGGAGGAGGGAGTGCGGCATCCCATGCAAGAGTTGCTAGAACTCACTGAAAACGCGCTCAAAACTCCCGTCGTGACGTGTTCACGACGCGGGCATGTGGGTGCGTGTCTTGCTCCTGGGCCACCGAAGGCCGCGGCGAGGCGCCCCTCGGTGCCGGGGTCGTGCTCAGCGAGTCGCGGCGGCGGCCCTGGCGGCAAGCTGCGCCCTACAAGCTGATGGCCCGGACGTGTTCGCATCGTACAAACATAACGACGAAGGTTTGACCTGTTGTCGGTCCAGGGGTCCTCGCTGGGCCACGGAACCGTCAAATAACGGCCCAGAATGAAAAACCTACCCTGGGGAACGGGTCGGGACCTCCAGGGGCCCCATATGGAAAACATCAGGACGTCACATTTCTGGGCAAGCTGATAGCGCGTCGCTCCGCTCAACGGTGCGGGCGACTGAGAAAGCCTGTCGCGCCGGGGCGTGGTGGGCCGGCCGGAGCTGGCGGAACGACCCACTGCGCAAACGGTCATAGCCGTAACGTTTAGCATTCCTGGTGTCTGCTTAACCTCCGAGAGCCCAAAGAAGCCTCATGGGGGCCTCCGACGATCTCGAAGGTCAGGATCCAGGGTGGAGCTGAGACTTACGAGGGGGGGAGCCGCCTCTCCCTCCATCCCTCATCTTTTGTTCTCGCTCCTCCAAGGAGCGGCTGTAGCAACGAACAAGACGATCAAGGAATCACTGCTGTAACGAATGCGTGAATACAGAAACATATGGGATATGTGAGAAAGTCGAGCAAGTAGAAGGGGCACCATGCACAACTCAATCATCCTGTGCTCAGGAGCAAGCGTGGCGGGCTCCTCCCACTTCTTGTCGTCCCATTTCTGGTCCCGTCCCTGGTCGTCCCACTTCTGGTCCGCGCGGCCAGTTGGCCGTCATGGAGGGCCGCGAGAAGAGGGGGGGCGCTCGTAGAACCAAACAAACCCTCCACCCAGGATTGAGGATCATGGTTTTTGGCAACTTGTGATTGCTCATGGTTTTTGTATATGCCTCGATCTATGCCCCCGGGGGCCTCTCCGGGGACCCCCAGCAGCCTCCGCGGGACTCTCGAGGACCTCCGGATGTATAAGGGAAAGACTGACCGAAGGGTCGATCCCATCCCGAATATCCGTCGGCGCGAGCTCCATGGTCGTTGATCCCAGCGATCGGGGCGGCGTGTGACATCAGATCGCCGAAGGCATCGTGAACAAGCGTCAAATCGATTAAATCCATGGGCATATCGAAAGTGTCTGGGAACATGGTTACAATGACGGCATTGATTCTGTCAGAGTCCGCCGACCCCTTGGGGTTCCTCGGCGTGTGAAATGTTCCCCCTCCCCCAACCCCTCCCCTGGGAGCCCGGTCCGGTCGATTTGGAGGGGGGGGGGGGTCGAGCCGAATCCCCCGATTGCCCCGGATGGCCCCGGAGGGGTCATCCGCTCCCGAAAATTGTGCAAAACCTCGTGAAAATCGTGCAGGGACTCCTCTGGTGGCCTCGAAATGGCTCCAGGACGCCCAACGAGCGCTCCAAGACGCCCAAGGTGGGCCAAAGACGCGTCTTGAGGCCTCCTCGCCGGCAGAAGGGGTCCACACGAGCCCCCCAGAGGCCTCCGAGATGCGCCCCAAGAGGGTCCCTAGATGCAAAAATTGGCCCATTTCCTTTGTGAAACGTACCTTTTTCACAAGTTCGGCTTCTGGGTTTTCCGATGCTCCAAGACGGCCCACGAGGCTCCCAAACCCGCCCCCAGACGGCTGAAGAAGCCTGCAAGAGGGTCCCCCACAAACCCCCACAGGGCCCCACGACGAGCCCATAGGCGTCAAAGACGGCCTAGAGGCCTCCGACAGCGGCCCCAAGAGCGCTCCAGGAGCGCCCCGAGTGGCCTCCAAGAGAGCTCCACATGGTCCCCGACGGTCCAAGAGCGATCAAAAACATCGACGGCGGCCTTCAGACGGCTCAAGAGGCTCCCAAGACGCCCCAAGAGGCCTCCAAGATGCGTCTAAGAGGGGCTCTAGACGCAAAAAATCGCCCGTTCCCTTCGTAAAGCGTATATTTGTCACACGTGCGCCTTTTGGGTGTCCCCCGCTCCTGGACGGCCCCAGAGCCCTCCAAACCCGCTCCCAGACGGCCCAAGTAGCCTCCAAGAGGGTCTCCCACATAGCCCTCGAGGGCCCCAAGACGGGCCCACAAGTGTCCAAGACGGCCCAAAAGGGCTCCGAAGACGGCCCTTCGAGCGCTCCAGGAGCGTTCCGCGTGGCCTTCAAGAGAGCTCCACATGGTCCCAGATGGTCCACGAGCGATCAACAACACCGCCGACGGCCTCCAGGCGGCTCAAGAGGCCCCCAAGAGGCCCCAAGAGGCATCCCAGCTGCGTCACAAGAGGGCCTCTAGACGCCAAAAAGCGCCCGTTCCCTTCGTAAACCGTCTAGTATTTCACACGTGCGCCTTTTGGGGTGTCCCCTGTTCCTGGACGGCCCCAAAGCCTCCCAAACCCGCTCCCAAACGGCCCAAGAAGCCTCCCAGAGGGTCCCCCAAATAGCCATAGAGGGCTCGAAGACGGGCCCACTGGCGTCCAAGACCGGCCAAGAGGGCTCCGAAGACGGCCCCAGAGCGCTTCAGGAGCGTTCCGGGCGGCCTCCAAGAGAGCTCCACATGGTCCCAGACGGTCCAAGAGCGATCAAAACATCGCCGACGGCCTCCAGACGGCTCAAGGAGCCCCTAAGACGCCCCAAGAGGCATCCAAGCTGCGTCACAGAGGCCCCTCCAGAGGCCCTCCAGAGGCCCCCAAGAGGCCCCGAGAGGCCCCCAAGAGGCCCCAAGTGGCATCACGCAAACAGTTCGACCCCCTACGTATCTGCCACCGCCCGCGCGCGACTCGCGGTCAGATTCCTCGCAACGTTCGTTGCCTCCCGCCGTGCCCGTCACTTCCCTCCGCAGGGCGTTTCGGCGGTTCTCTCCGAGCCGGCCGTCCCGCCTTGTAGCACTTTGCGCGCGCCACCAGGTTGCCTCGCTGGAAATAATTCTTCTTCTGGTCTTTCGACAGATGGCCGCCGTCAGTGAACGCAGGCTTCGATCCGTCCTTGCGCGGGGGACATGCGGAGCAGTCAAACTTCTTCGCCAACTTCCTTTGGTCGTGGCACGCTCGGCACGCCACCGAGCGACGGTCCGAACCGCTCGCGAAAAAGTGCTTCACTTGCTTATCAGTCAGATGAGTCCTGTCCGTGAATTCTCGCTCTTTTCCCACCTGCTTTTTTCGGGCACTCGGAGCACCTGAGCACTCGCGGCTGATTGCGTTCTTCCTGGCACGCGCGGCACAGAACTGGGCGATGGTTCGCACCCGTCGCGAAGAAATGCTTCACTTGCTTATCTGTCAGATGCGTCCTGTCCGTGAATTCTCGGTCTTTCCCATCTGCTTCTTTGGGGCACGCGGAGCACCTGAGCACTCGCAGCTGATTGCGTTCTTCCTGGCACGCGCGGCACAGAACTGGGTGATGGTTGGCGCTGCGCCCTTGCACTTTCTCCGCTAACGCATGGTGCCCTTTCTTACGCTCTTTCACCTCGTTGAATGACGACGCCAGGCGCTTCGCCCCATAGTCGCACGCGCACCCTGCCCGGGCGTTCTGCGCGCGCTGTGCCGCGAGCACGATGTCTTTCACCTCCGCGCCGTCCCAACACCTCTCTGCGCACGCGCCCCCGTCATGCGTCTGCTCCAGAATTTGGAACCTGCACGGGAGCTGCACATCGGAGTTGAAATTCAATCCAAGGCCGCCGCTTAACAATGCAGGCAATGTCCCGTTGAGGTTCTCTTCATTCTGTGGCCCGCGTAGGCATCCAGTCATCTCTGCGCCCCCCACACGGCATGGAGCGGTTTTTGAGAAACCCTGGGCACAAAAGCACGGTCTTCTCCACCAGCCACGTCGTCCGAGGGAAAAAGCTCTTGCATTTCAGAGGGTCGTCATCTCGTTGACAGTGGAGCAAGGGCACAAATTTAGAATGCCGATGACTCCACTTGTGTACGTCGTTCTGACGGCATCCCTGGCCCCTCTGCACACATCTCAAATATGTCCGGAACCACCATTTAGAAGCGCTCCCCCTCTCAGACCCTGGGCTGAGCTCTTGGGTCCCCTCTAGGGTTCGCTGCACCTCCGCATCGGTCTGCTTCAGGTACTGTTCTGCCCGAATGAGCTCTTCCGTGCCCTTGTACGCAGGCCAGTCTTTTTCGACGTGCTCTTTCTGCCTCTGCCATCCCGCCACATCTGCGTATACTTGCCGCGACGCCAGCCTTGTAAATGCTGCGTGCCCGCGTATCAGACGCTTCAGCTCGTTCCGGGGACGGCGAATAATCTCGTGCAGCGGCGTGTGCTGATGGAGGCATTGGACAACTAACTGTGCGTGCAAGTGTAAACTGCCCGCGGATTTCTGAGCTTCTACGGAACCGTACACACCGTCCACTCGTCCCGCGCACCCGCCTACCCATTTCGCGTTACTACCTGCCAGATCCGCGCAATCACAGTCGGGACACCGCGGACACCATCGAATCCCGAACAGGTGCTCCAACACCAGGCCTACGATTGTGCGAAAGCCGTCGACGCCCGCCAGAGGGTCCCGTGCCAAGCACTCCAAGCGCAGCTTGGCCGCTGCAACGTTTTGGCATAAAACCTCCATGGGTATCGCCATGTTCACATCATCAGCGTCGCCCTCCACCGCCTCGTCCTCGAATGGCACGCCGCATGCGCTTGTGAAATCGGGTTCGAACAATCCGCCATTCGACGGGCCATGTTTCTCCTGCACCCGACGCCTGTTGACTGGGTCCTTTCGGCGCGACCTACTCAGCCGTACCATGACAAGGTTGTGCCTTTCATCTGGGGACATCGTAAAAAATACGGGGACGCCTTGAGCCACCCGACCAGCGTGGGTATCGAACCGCATAATGGTACGTACCTCATTTGTTCCTGCGATATTCTTATTGATGGCCTGCGCTTGCCGCACCATTCTCTGCGCGGTCTCCGATAATGACGTGACGAGTTTCAACTTCGACACGTCCCCATTCACTGCGCGCCGCTGTCCAGTGCCTGGATCTGGGTACGTTCCTCGCAGTGCTTCTACTATGCTTATGGCAGCCTACTCCATATACGTAAAGTCGCGACCCGATTCGTCCTCCCTCTGCTCATGATCTGCAAACAGCCGCATGCTCCGGGACGTGTTCAATGCGCTTTGGTACAACAAGGACGACATCGTGAACCCGAAGCGTCAGTCGCGCCGGAGCTGAGATTCCACGCGGCGTGTCATGATTCGTGTCCACAGCGGAAGTTCCACGCGGGGTGCCTCTCCGACACGCCGGTGTCGGCTCACTTCGGACCATTCTGGCAGATCAGGCATGCCTACCCCAAACTTGAAGCAGAAAGGAAAAGCGACGCCGAATAACTACGGAACAAACTGACTCATCATGGCCGTGCCTGGAGACACCACGAGGCGCAACCGCATCTTTTCCATCCACGTCCCCCGTCCGTTCACGTCCATCAGCACCAAGTTGTGCCGCTGCGACGCTTCTCCGAGCCTCGCGATATCCGACACTCCTTTGCATGTGCATCGTACGCGACCATTGTCTTGGTCGCTCAATAGATTGGTAGCCAACGCGACAAAATGATCCCGCCATGCTTCGTACGCGAACTGAACGCTCGCACGTTCTTCTGCACGGGAAGTTGCGCAACCGCCACCATGCCCGTCCGTGCCTTCATTTACGCCGCGCGTCATGTGCTGCAAAGCTGCTTCCGTCATAGCGTTTCCATCTACCTCGTTGAACGATGACCTCTCCATGACCACCATGTTCAGAATTCTTCGATCCATGTCGTCGCAAGCGTCTTGCACCGTCGC